AATAAGGTTATGCTCTCTGTCAGGCTGCTATCAACTGTTTGAGAACAGGAAATACATGCCATCTACTCCGACTTTTTGGGCACAAGCGCCCCAGTGTCTTAAAGCCCACAAATGAACCCCAAATCCTGACTGAAATCCTGATCGAGTTCGACTGCTCTTTTGCGTTCGTTCCCATCCATTCATGATTTATCAGGTGGATGGAACAGCGGTCCGAGGGCCAGCCATTTCGTCGCTACATTCCTACACTTGCACGGGACGCAGCAGGAGCGTCACAGGGCTGGATCCCAATCCATTCTGGCTATGTGTCGCAGTCACAGTCAGCTTGGTGGTCATGGTATGTGTTACACCGACAGCACCGAGGTGGTCGATATACTGGGCGATCGTGACTTCCGGCTGGGGCTGTCCTTCGTGGTCGCCAATACAGCTTTGCCACCGTGTTCGTCGTCCGAAGGACACTGGACGGAGAAGGCTGCGCCAACAAGAAGTACTGGTTAGCCACCTGGAGCCCAACGACCTCGCATCCTTATGTCACCGTCTGTGACTGGAAAATATCGGTGGGCTGATGAATCTCTCCGCAGGAGCAGTAGGGAGGTGGTCCTGAGTGCTTAAGAGGAGCTCCGCCGCCGCAATGTGTAGTAGGACGCGGCTTACCATGAAGTGCCCTAGCGGATGCTGGAGAGTGCGGTGAAGTGCTGCATCGGTATCATTGACGTGCGAGATCCCGGCCACCACCCTCTGGAAACTTAGAACGGTTTGGAAAACCACCGCACTGAGCTGATCAGGATTCTGGTGGTCATCTACCGGCGCCTGTGTCTTCATCACCAGGCGAAGCTGCACAATGCATGCTTGCAATGGAGCAGGATCCGCAAAAAATGACTGAAGCAGTGCTGTTTAGAGGACATTAGGCAACCTGAAGGCTCTGATATTGTCTTCATTTGTCTGGTGGCATAACCAGCAGACACCCTTTCCTGCAGTTCCCACACTTTTCCGATCGTCAGGATCGTCCGGCCTGTTCCCTGCGATCTGTTCAGGCTTCTGTTCTGCGTGAACTGGGTGATTCTCATCAGGATCGTCCGGCCTGTTCCCTGCGATCTGTTTAGGCTTCTGTTCTGCGTGAACTGGGTGATTCTCGTCAGGATCGTCCGGCCTGTTCCCTGCGATCTGTTCAGGCTTCTGTTCTGCGTGAACTGGGTGATTCTCGTCAGGATCGTCCGGCCTGTTCCCTGCAATCTGTTTAGGCTTCTGTTCTGCGCGAACTGGGTGATTCTCGTCAGGATCGTCCGGCCTGTTCCCTGCGATCTGTTTAGGCTTCTGTTTTGCGTGAACTGGGTGATTCTCGTGGGAAGAAATGACTGTGTTTTGATGTGCGGTGTTGAAGTATGTACATATATTGGCGTGATGTTCGATCAATGTCTTGTACCAGTTAGCTATATAATTGTTCGTAGCTTAATGCAGTTTTACTGTCAGTTCCCAGAAAAAAGTATGCGTGAACCTCCGACATTATTATTGGAAGATGTTTTTGGCTCCTCGTGACGGTCCGGCTGGTTGGATACATTATTCCCGTTATTGCTGTGATAATTAGTGTTGTGTAAGTAGCTAGGCCGGTTAGAGTTCTCATAAGTATTCATTCCGATTATAAGAAACTGGTGAACCAGTCCCTGACCTGGCCGGGTGCTTGCTCGGGCGTCCAATACATCTGAGCGTGGCAAGTACTTGTGCTCGTCACCTGTCTTTGGATACCGTGGAAATGGCGAAAGCAGTGAAAGGCAACATCACGCTCCGCACGATGCAGACTGGGCAGCGACTCGGGCGTCTGCGTCACACTCGCGGCTGCTGACCCGCGGACACCGGCAGCGTCACCGCGACACCAGACGTGTCGACCCCACGGCAGTGACGAATATTGTGCTCCTGGACGCCCACCACGGAGTCCGGCACAACGGCGGTTGAACCCTGCAGCACTTGTCCCACGGACGCTGGTTAGAGCGCTAGTCCCGCCGATGCTTGGTGTGAGCGCGGCGGAACTACCCGGGCCAGCGGCAGGGTCGCAGCGGTCGTCCTCAGGGGCGGGCCACGCTCCACAGGCTTCTCGAACGCATTTGGCCCGTACACATCGGACACGACTGTAGCCGACTCCCGCGGAATTAAAGAGTAGACAGCTAGACAGGAAGATAGCGGCCCCACCATCGCCCAGCGTGAGCACGGCGGACCGTCCGCGCAGGCAGTGGTCATGGAGGTCGGCGGCAGGGATTTCTTCACGCAGGTAACACATCGATCAGTGAAATACAAGACAAAGATGATTGAGGATCGTTAACATATGGCTTTATCTCGTTAAACTCTTTCAAATCAGTTCTAGATTCAATTTTGCTTCCGCGATCTTACACAGCGACTTCCCCGCCCCACGCGTTGCGATGGCTCCGTCAGTGCGAGTCTATGTTTCTTGTCTCTACCAATATGGTGGCCGGCTCCACCTATCAGCAAGCGGACCACTCCATTCTCTTGTCCTATCTAGTCTGTATATATATGGTGCCAGGGCTAACACTGGTTTAGGCAAGTCCTGTGACAAGCGTATCGGGTGCCCTAGATTGCGGTGACAAGGGATGTGTATTTAACTCACCAGACACAAAGAATGATTCACAGTTAAAGCTTTAGACACTGCAGTTGGCTGGTTGACGTCGGTCTCGTGAGTAAGTCGTGATGCTTGGCGCGTGGCCGGACAAAACGTATCGCAAAACGTACTTAAGTTTAGTAAACTGAAGTACGTTTTTTGTATGTTAAGTAAACTTGCAAGTTTACATTTAAGCGTCAAGTTCCGACCCGTTTTGATTTTCTCAAATTAGCACTTACATCTGGTACACAAAGCTGGAAATCCCGTACAAGACATAATAGCATCTTTCCTCGGAGAAGGACAAAAAAAAAGCAACAGGAGTGGAGGTATAGATGCGTTGATATTTCGGCATCATGCCTTTATCGAAACGAATAGCAGAAAGGCTTCTGATATTCCTTTCGATAAAGGCATGTCGCCGAAACATCAACGAACCTATATCTCCGTTCCCTTGGTTTTTCTCCGAGGAATAAGGCTATTACCCCTAAGTAGTAATACTATTAGGAAGTAATAGTCTTAGCAGCAAAATACTACCGGTCGCGATGGCATGGGAGGCCGCGGCTTATCCGTTCACCCGAGTATATGGATTTTTGGTATTTGCACCGTCATTCTATCTCCAAACTTAGTTTGCCTCGAGCCGCTACTCAAGCTGGAGCTTTCACCGGCCAGTAGTTGAGCAGGGTGACTGAACATTGGTGAGGATAGGGCTCGCGGCTAGGCTGCAGTTGAGCAGGGTGACTGATCATTGGTGAGGATCGGGCTCGCGGCTAGGCTGCAATTGAGCAGGGCGGCTGATCATTGGTGAGGATCGGGCTCGCGGCTAGGCTGCAGTTGAGCAGGGCGGCTGATCATTGGTGAGGATCGGGCTCGCGGCCAGGCTGCAGTTGAGCAGGGCGGCTGATCATTGGCGAGGATCGGGCTCGCGGCCAGGCTGCGGTTGAGCAGGGCGGCTGATCACTGGCGAGGATCGGGCTCGCGGATAGGCTGCGCCTGGGCAGGGTGACCGATCATTAGTGAGTGTGAGGCTCGCGGCTAGGTTGCAGTATTTATCCAAGCATTTTCGCCGCTCTTGGTTGGAGGCTATACTATAACGTGACAAGGTAAAAAAAGACTCGTAATGGCTTTGATATTTGGTTCTTCGAACATCAATGCGCACTATTTCTCTTAAGTCAGTGCTTCATGTCAGGACCTTGCCTTTTCCTAGCTTTTTAACACACATCAGCTCATGCAAGGATACCGCTAAAATAGTGCATCACGGCATCGAACATCTCCACTTTCCCTCACTGTTTCACTTGAACCCTTACCCTCTGGCCGACACGGAAGCTGAAGGGGGGGGGGGGGGGGGCGACAGTAGCGCACCAGTCCATTGGTTATCAAGGCGCGTGCTCCCAGTTCGATAAACGGACCTCGTGCAGTTGCATTCACAATTAAAAACAACGTTGCATGCCTTCGAAGTGATTTATTTGGTTCCAAAAAAAAAATCATATTGAGAGTTTGTGTTCAAGGCGATTTTCGATGACATTGTCAAAAGCGCCAAATATGTAACGCAAATGCAATACATCGCATGTGACACGCCGATTTTAGTCACAAGACCAGCCTTTTATGGACGTTCAAGCTGAAAAGTGCATTTCGTATATTCAAAGGAGCTATTTCTTCGGACGCAAAGGAGTTAAGCCATCATCTTAAAAGCCTTTCACAGTGAACAAGTTACCAAGCGTTAGCAGCTGCGCAAGTCCTATCCCAAACAGGGGCGGGCCAGAAGAATACCAGAAGTGAAGTATTTCGACCAGTGACCAGAACACGACAATTTAGACAACACCCCCCGAGGGTGCCCCCTCCCCTTTTCTTGAAGCCAAAATCAAAATTTGCCACTGCTTCCCAGTCGATGGGCTTACGGGTGCGCTCTCTCGGGGCGCCGGAAACAGCTTCGCTCCGCGTAACGTCACTCGACGGCGTGACGTCAGAGAGCCGGCGGCCAGCGCGGCGGGCGGCTGCCAGCCCGGCCAGCGCGGCGGTCACAGGAGTCACCCTCCGGCACTACCTCCGACCCAACCCGCGGCCGAGCGAGCCGACCCGGCCGGCAGGCCGCCGGCGGCGCCGAGTCCCCCGCACACACACACACACACACACACACTCCCCACACACGCATACAGACACGCTCCCGCGTCGGCCGGCGTCCCGGCGGCGGCGCCACGGCGGCGCGTCACGCCTGGTCTTCTCCGGGAGCTGGCGTCCGTGCACGGGGCGCGGCGGGCCCGGCGGGGCTCTGCGGCCGGTGGACGTTGGCCGGGCCCCGCCGGGCGGGCGGGCGGGCGCGCCGGGGCTCCGCAGGACCCCGGCCACGCGCAGCGGGCCGGCCGACTCGCCCGGCGCCCCGGCTAGGGGCCCGGGCGGCGGCGACAGCGGCGACGACGGTGGGCGCCGGTCGCTCTGCGCTGCTAGCGACGTCTAGCGAGCGCCAGTGGAGACACCGATTCCTCGGGAGGCCGCGCGGCGGCGCTCAGACCCATGGCGTCCAGCCCTCATAGAGGAGCGCCAGGTTGGTGACATTAGTCGCCTCCTGGATGGTGAAGTCCACCTGCGGGTCCAAGAACCTTTCAAAATGACAGTAACTACAAGTGATCGGGTACGTACAATTAAAATAAGCATGCCTGGTTACACTTACAGCATAGCATACACCGACACGCAAACGCACACGCGCACCCGCAACCGCACCCGCACCCGCGCCCGCGCCCGCGCCCGCGCCCGCGCCCGCGCCCGCGCCCGCGCCCGCGCCCGCGCCCGCGCCCGCACCCGCACCCGCACACACACACATAAACTTCGCGATAGTATTCATGATTTGGGCTTAAGGGCGCACCGACTACCCTGATCTACACACACCTTGCACAAATATAACGTTTAGAATGGCATACACCGACACACACGCAGGATCGACATATACGCTTTGCGCATGTGCGCTGCTGTTCACAGCGGCGCGCGCGCGGCGCGCGGCGTCTGTGGAGCGCCGGCTCTGACCTGCTCGGCCACGCTGGCCGGCCGGGTGGGGTCAGGGTCGCGACCTTCCAGCTTCTGACGGACGCGACGCCACACGGCCAGCGCGTACTGGTTGCAGCCCTGCACGCCTGTCGCAACGGCACGGCCGGGGTCAGCCGTGGACGCGGCGCCGCATGCGGCACGGTGATAGGACACACCCCTCCCGCGGACTGGCCGAAGCTATATCTACCTTACACCTGCCAGACTTGGCCAGGCACAGGGCCCGTCGGCTTCCACGCAACACAGCATGCTTTTGCCATCACCATCCATCATTCCACAAACGACACTTCACTTATTCACTTGCCGCCTATCGCTGAGCCCTGCGCCAGCAATGTACCGCCCGCGCCGCCGGTTCGACAGCCGACGCGGCCGGGCCGGGGCCGCGCGCCGACCGGCCGGCCCTCTCACCGCGTCCAGTATGGGGGTCCTTCTGGACGGGCTTCTCGCGTGGCGTCAGGCGGCTCTCCTCGGACGTCAGCGTCGACAACTGGCCGGCCAGCGACACCAGAGTGTCGTAGATGGCCGCTGCGACAGAGAAGTGTGACGTGAAGCAAAGTGTGAAGCGTGAAGGGTAACAGCGTGACGTCACAGGCCGGGACGGCGCGCACGCGCGGCACCGTTTCCATCCAACCACATCGGCGGCACATACACGATAAATCGATACCGGACATAGCAAATGTGAAAGCAAGTTACCACCGATGCAACGTCACAGCCCCAATACCTAAAGCGGCACCTGTGGTACAGACCGGAGCTCTGACCGAAGCCCGGCCGGCCAGCGTGGCCGAGCGGGTCAGCGTGGTACAAACCGGAGCTGATCAGCACCGCACCGACCGTGAGGCCCCAGCGGCACCTCACCTGTGCCCTGCTGTATGCCGGCCAGCTGAGCGCGGTACTCGAGCACGTGCTCCCGGCTGACGGTCTCGTTGAGCAGGCTGCGGATCAGGCGGCTCAGCTCCTCGGAGAAGGCGCGGTACTGCGTCATGTACACTTCCACTGCCGGCAGCTCGTCGCCCGAAGCCTGCCGGGTCACCACGCTCAGGTACGGCAGGCCCCGCACACTCGGCCCCCCCACGGACGGTCAGGTACACACCAGATGTACTCCACGCAGCAATCGTGACGGGGGAGGTCTGGGACGTACCGAGGTACACTCGGGTACACATCGGCACGATCGGTAAAAGCAGGGCGGCGCGCGGCTGCCCAGCGCCATGACAGTAGGCGGGCACAGACAGGTCAACAGTCAGCTGACAACAGACAGCTGGATACAGAGGGACAGCTGGTCGAGCAGCGAGGCCAGCCCCACGAGCGGGCTCTGTCAAAAGCTCCCTGAAAATCAGCTGCATCACCCACGCGTATTGACACACCAGACGACTGCGCCCTGATTCTTATTCATAACACGAATGCTTTAAAACGGTCACAGAAAGAAAACGCACACATCCCGCGACGAAGTCGAAGGAAGTCTGCGAGGAAGTCGAGAAGAAGGAAGTTTGCAATACTGCGGTCGTCTGAGGGTGCCTCCCTGATGGGCACGTGCATAAAATCCGCGAGTTATCCCCATGAATAACCAGACTCCCTGCCCCGCCACTCGCACCAGTCTGCCAGCTACAAGAAAGCCAGTCTTCAACTGCTCACCGAACGCGCACACTCCTCACCTTTCAGGAAACGCACCAACACCGCGAGAGGGCACGCTCAGTGCACCCATCATCGCATCTGAAGCCGTCTCTACCCGTGACTAACAGGCGGACATGCTCCGCGCACGCGCACACACACACACAGCCAGCTGACCTTGGCGATGGCCTTGAGAAGGAGGCGGACGTCGGAGATGAGCTTGTGGTGCGAGGTCAGCAGGTCACGCACTCTGATGCCGTGCGACCGGATGTCGTCCCAGCAGACGAACAGCTCAGACTGGCGCTCTGAAATCTCCTCTTGGGTGGTCTGCTGCAGCTCTGGGGTCACCGGGGGCCAGCCGAGGTCACTAGGGTCAGCCGAGGTCGGCAGAGTTCAGCAGAGGTCGGCGCGTGTGCAGCGGCGGTCAGTACAAATATGTAAGTAGGTGCACGTGCTGACAACAGTTGTACCTCAGTACATGCCTGGCTGTAAACACCAGCGTTTATTCATATCCACCCAAGTTCGTTGGCATCAGCTGGGGGCTCGGCCCGGGTCCACGGAGGTCAGCACAAACCGTCATGTTCAGATCGGGTCCAAAAATACCGTAACATGTCAGTAAGAACCGTTCAAGACTTCAAATCAAAGCTGGCAAACAGAGCTGGTGGTGGCGGAGGTCAAGCATGGTCAGCAGCATTGCCCCCAAAATCCTTTGGGTAGTAGGGCGACCCCATCTCCGTGTGATGTTTGGGTGACGGGGAGGTAGAGGAGCGGAGGGAGCGAGCCGGGTGAGAGGTCAGACCAGTGGCGGCGCGGCTGTTACCCTGGAGTGTGGCGGCGGCCTTGGTGATCCAGGCGGGCGACATACGGTCGGTCGGCGCCACGGCCAGAGCCAGCGCCTGCTCCACTGGCGTCACCGTCTGGCCGAGCTCGGCGGAAAGCCGGGCCGCCTCTTGCACCTCCCCCAGCAGCTGCTGGTACCACGCGCGGGTCAGACAGGCGACAGAACACCGCCAACACAGCTACTCAGTTCAAACACGCCTGGCCACACACTGTACCAGCGACCGGCCCAACTGTCCACACTCACTTATGACTCTCCTCTCATTGTCTTTCCTCAGCTCACTGCCTTATCCCCCTTCTCCTTTTCTCTACCACAGCCAACTACCCCTCCCCCTCATATTTCCCTTGGCCGGTCCGTCTCAACCCCAACGGAGTTCGCCACCTCGGCGGCCTCCGGCCTCACCTGGATGAAGCGGGAGTCCTCGGCAGCCTCCGGTCTCACCCGGATGAAACGGGAGTCCTTGGCAGCCTCCGGTCTCACCCGGATAAAGCGGGAGTCCTCGGCAGCCCCCGGTCTCACCCGGATGAAGCGGGAGTCCTTGGCAGCCCCCGGTCTCACCCGGATGAAGCGGGAGTCCTCGGCAGCCCCCGGTCTCACCTGGATGAAGCGGGAGTCCTCGGCAGCCCCCGGTCTCACCCGGATGAAGCGGGAGCCCTCGGCGGCCTCCGGCCTCACCTGGATGAAGCGGGAGTCCTCGGCAGCCTCCGGTCTCACCTGGATGAAGCGGGAGTCCTCGGCAGCCCCCGGTCTCACCTGGATGAAGCGGGAGTCCTTGGCAGCCTCCGGCCTCACCTGGATGAAGCGGGAGCCCTCGGCAGCCCCCGGTCTCACCTGGATGAAGCGGGAGCCCTTGGCAGCCTCCGGCCTCATCTGGATGAAGCGGGAGTCCTCGGCAGCCTCCGGTCTCACCTGGATGAAGCGGGAGTCCTTGGTAGCCTCCGGCCTCACCTAGATAAAGCGGGAGTCCTCGGCAGCCCCCGATCTCACCCGGATGAAGCGGGAGTCCTTGGCAGCCTCCGGTCTCACCCAGATGAAGCGGGAGTCCTCGGCAGCCTCCGGCCTCACCTGGATGAAGCGGGAGTCCTCGGCGGCCGGCTCGGCGCCGCGGCCCCTCAGCCTCTCGGCGTGCAGCACGCCCCGGCCCAGCTCGGCCACGGCGGCCAGCAGGCGGCGCAGGTCGGAGACGCGGCCCTGACACCGCTGCACACAGTCTGTGTACTCCTCCAGCAGCTGACGCCGGCAGAGCACGGATGAGCACAGAGCACTCTGGGTCACACTGACACCGACTGACACTGACACGTCACTGCGTGTGACAATGCTGTCGCGGGCGCTGTTATGGGCTGCCAGCGGCGACCATTATTGTGTGCGTGTATGTATTTGTTAACGTATATGTGTAAGCATGTAAACGTGTGCGCATACATCCACGTGTGTATCCATATACATCTAGTGACATATCATCGGTCATTTTTGAAATAAGCAGGTAGGTAGCAGGCAGGTAGATTCCCTTTTCGTCTTCAAGAGTTCCTATGCTGAACCTACCCTAGAATACATTAGAAGGCTTGGTTTAACAACAATATCAAGCAGCTGCTACGATATATTCTGACAAGGCCCAGCTTCTTTCGACTACGTGACTTCAGTCGTCGACCCCTTCAGGGGACGTGAGCCTCAACAACGATCAAATTAGCGTGGGAACGTGGGCATACGAGGCTGTGCTGCGACCACCCAATTGAGATGGTCCTAACCACCAGACACGCCGGGCGTGAGACGGGCACCGCGGGCAGTCAGTACGTTAGTTGAACTTCCCGGCACGGGCTGTCGCCATAACAGGAACCACTGTTCGGCTATCTGCTGTAATCTGCATCTACCCATGATGATCAGAGTCGCCACCCCTGTCCGAAGTCGGGTCAGAGAAAGCTTGCTGCGGAAGGAATCGAACGCGGCCCTCGCCACGCCGGGCCATCGGCGCCAGCCGCGAGGTCAGGGGGCCCGCGTCAGGCGTCAGCGGCGGTACATGCGGCCCTCGCCACGCCGGGCCATCGGCGCCAGCCGCGAGGTCAGGGGGCCCGCGTCAGGCGTCAGCGGCGGTACATGCGGCCCTCGCCACGCCGGGCCATCGGCGCCAGCCGCGAGGTCAGGGGGCCCGCGTCAGGCGTCAGCGGCGGTACATGCGGCCCTCGCCACGCCGGGCCATCGGCGCCAGCCGCGAGGTCAGGGGGCCCGTGTCAGGCGTCAGCGGCGGTACATGCGGCCCTCCCACGCCGGGCCATCGGCGCCAGCCGCGACGCCAGGGGGCCCGTGTCAGGCGTCAGCGGCGGTACATGCGGCCCTCGCCACGCCGGGCCATCGGCGCCAGCCGCGAGGTCAGGGGGCCCGTGTCAGGCGTCAGCGGCGGTACATGCGGCCCTCCCACGCCGGGCCATCGGCGCCAGCCGCGATGCCAGGGGCCCGTGTCAGGCGTCAGCGGCGGTACATGCGGCCCTCCCACGCCGGGCCATCGGCGCCAGCCGCGATGCCAGGGGGCCCGTGTCAGGCGTCAGCGGCGGTACATGCGGCCCTCCCACGCCGGGCCATCGGCGCCAGCCGCGAGGTCAAGGGGCCCGTGTCAGGCGTCAGCGGCGGTACATGCGGCCCTCCCACGCCGGGCCATCGGCGCCAGCCGCGATGCCAGGGGGCCCGTGTCAGGCGTCAGCGGCGGTACATGCGGCCCTCCCACGCCGGGCCATCGGCGCCAGCCGCGAGGTCAGGGGGCCCGTGTCAGGCATCAGCGCGGTACATGCATCGCAGCGGCGGTGACTCAGACCGCGGGCTCGCAGTTACGCTTCAGGGGCTCCCGACAGAGTGGTTCAGTGTGGCCTAACGGCAGTTACGGGTGCTCACACGTGATTCGCGCACTACGCTGCCTTCGAGATTAACGCGACACATGAAAGCCATGCCATGACGTGGACACAAAGCTACTGCACGGCGCTCCGTACAGGTGAGAACCAAAGCACCGAGTCCGCCTATGCAGCCGGCCATTCTCGTATTTGTTCACTCTTTAATCAGGACAGTCTCTGCCCAATATTGCAAGACTACCGGATTAACCGCTCTGCACGGCGCAACGACACGATAAACATCAGGTACTGTACATAGATGTCATTATTGTGGTGGCTGCTCATCCAGTGCGCTCTGGTCCCTCACTATTTCACCGAAGGTAGCCAACGATTTAGGCTGTTCGATGCGCTCTATCGCTCGCTGCCGGCTGCCGCTGCCGGCGCTACCGCTCGCGGACCCGAGCCCGGCCCTCCCACTCGGCCAGGTAGTCTCGCCGCACCAACAGTGCACCCCACCACCCACCCCGGTCAGGAGACCATCCCGGCGCACCCATAGGCCAACGCCGACAGCATAGCTCGGCCGTGGGGACGTGGAAGGGAGCGGCGGGGGGCAAGAACGGTAGGAGAGGGTCATACCTGGGTCACTTCAGCGTTGGCGCCGGCAGCCCAGCGCAGTCGCTGCTCGACGCTCTGCGACAGCTGGGAGAACTCCTCCGATAGGTCCCACAGCGGCGGACACCTGTGGAGATGACAGGTCAAGTCAGGCCACAGGTCAAGCACATGTCATGGGTCAAATGGCGGCGAAAACCTGTGGGACGAAGGGCGAGATCGGGGCAGCACATATCAGGTCATGTCACGGGCAGAGCAAACGTTAGAGGTCCCATGACTGAGGACACCTGGGGAAGAGAGCGAGCCAGGTCAGGTCAGATCAAGGGTCCCAGGGCAACAAGCATCTGGGGAAGATGTGGAGCAAGACAAAATATTGAATGTCACATCACAGAAGCTTAAGAGGAGCACGAGCTACAAGCCAACATCGGCAGTGAAGGCAGTTCAACACCGCCGCCGCAGGCTGTTGCCGGCCGGCGGCGGCCGTCGGTAGTTGCGCGCCTCACCGGTTGGCGGCGCTGATGGCGCGGCTCAGCTGATCCAGCACCAGGTCGCGGCCGGCGCAGGCCGTGCCCGGCAGGTCGCTGTACAGCCAGAGATGCGCCGCCTCCGACAGCTGGTACCGCTCCGCCGACCGGTGACACTGGCTCAACTCCTCCTGGCACGCGCTGCCGGTGGAGCGGCCGAGGTCAGTGCCGGCGGACGGGCGACGACGCGCAACAACCGCGCTTCGCAGACGGCGCCGGCGATGGCGCTCTGGGCTGCAGGGGCACTTATCCGAGTGGCTGCGTAGCTTTTACAGCGCATCAGCCATTGGTATACCTGCATCGCCTGCCTATACAGTTCATCATGGGCGTGACCTTTGCTTCCCTTTCTTTCGTCTGACTTTCACGACATCCCACCAGAACACAGAGCAGAACGGAGCAGAACAGAGCAGAGCATCAGAGCAGGCTGACAGTGGGCGCGGGCGGCTGCAGCGGACCCACCTGACCAGCGAGTGGTTGCGCCAGGCCGTCTCCAGCTGCGAGAGCCGCTGCTGGCAACGGGACAGCTGGCCGGAGGTGACGCTTCCGTCGGCCAGCGAGCGCTCCAGCGCGGCACGTACCAGCTCCTCCAGCGAGACGCGGCTGTCGGCGCCCACCTCGCGCTGGGCCACCTCCGCTGCCGCACGTACACAAGGTAATGCGCTGTACGGGAGCCACCGTCTGAGCCAGAGCAGCTTTCGTCAAGCCGCGACCAGCTCACGGGACCGTTATGTAACGAGCGAGCGTGCCACAATACAAGACACGTGATATATACACGTGCTACTTAGACGAAGGCCCCAGGCCGTGCGCAAGCAGCGCCTTGTCGGCGCGAGGAGTGCTGGCTTTAAGAGAAGCTCTAACTTTACCGTAGATAACGTAACTCCCGGATCTTGGCCGTTCAAATGTAGTTGAGCCAGCTAGGGACGCGGCCTGGGACCTTCCACTGCAACATGTCGCAGCCTCACCCGTTTCCCGGTCCCTCAAGTCCTCAGATGGTCCGAGAGCATCACACCACTTTCCGATTGACTGTGCCGTCTGTGTCCCTCCCTAAAGCTGTCATCTCACATGTTTCTATCCGTTCCCTACCCGCCCGAATCCTTGCACCCCTCATACAACCCCCACTCCTCCGCGTCCCCTAACACCGCATCCCTGCTCTAGCCATTCCCATGCACCCTCCGCCCCCATGCCCTCTCTACTTTCCCTTCCCATCGTTTGTCCCGTCTCAACTCTTCAACTCGTTCATTCCTCTTCGCTCGTATCTGCCTCGCGTCTACCCGGTCCCCGTCCCCGTCCCCGTCCCCGTCCCCGTCCCCGTCCCCGTCCGCGTCCGCGTCCGCGTCCACGTCTCGGTCTCGGTCTCGGTCTCGGTCTCGGTCTCGGTCTCGGTCTCGGTCTCGGTCTCGGTCTCCGCCTCCCTCCCCGTCTGTCTCCGTCGCCGTATTCGTCGCCGTATCCCGGGTGGGTGTGGCGCTCACCCGACACGCTGATGCCGCACGTGTCGGCCAGCCGGCAGGTCAGCTGGGCGGCCAGCAGTGACGTCACGCCCAGCACGGTACGCCGCAGGTAGCCGCCGACGCAGCGGCGCAGCGGCGCCGTCAGCTGCGCCTCAGCACAGACGGTCAGCTGCAGCTGCGGCATCTCCACACCTGGCGGCAGGCGCGTTACGGCACTCAGGCGCTGGCGGGGACACGGCGGCGCTCATAGCGATGGTTGAGTGGTGGTGATGATGCGCATGACGGCGATGGTCCCGCTGGTGATGGTTGCGGCGGTAATGATGACGGTTGCGGTGATGGTGACGACGATTGTGGCGATGGTGGTGACAGCTGTGGCGATGATAATGACGGTACTGTTAATATGGAGCGATGCAGAAGGATCAAAGAAGAGGGCGACCGTGACCGTGCAGGTGACCAGCCGTGGCTTCAGGATGTGACAGCCATCAGCGCGTGTACGCTCAGCCGCCACCTGGAAAGGATGACCTTGACCGTGTAGGTGACCAGCCGTGGCTTCAGGATGTGACAGCCATAAGCGCGTGTATGCTCAGCCGCCACCTGGAGAGGATGACCCTGACCGTGTAGGTGACCAGCCGTGGCTTCAGGATGTGACAGCCATAGGCGCGTGTACGCTCAGCCGCCACCTGGAGAGGCGTTCCTGCATAGACAGCGGCAGCATGGGAGGCGGGCGGACGCTGACAGTCACGCAAAACTGCAGCCACATGTTAAGAGTAATGCACGCTGCACACGCATGTTCATGACTAGCGACTTGTTATGGATACATCATGAACGCAGCAAAGCATCATTGACGTGGTTTATGCATCACAACTGATACATCATGAACGTGCGGTACGGTGGTCACCTTCTTGAAGCCACGTGAGTGGTCACGGCTAATAACAGTGTGTTATTGTGACTGATTCGTACCACGCTGGCTAAAGAGAGAGCTTGGCAGAGAAAACTGGCCAGGTAAGGTCCGGTGAGAGTTTGACATCAAAGCCAACAACAGAGGAGGCTCTAGTGCCGGCAGCCTGTGACCGGCGTCCACACTGGTAGCAATGGAAAATCAGCCAGCCGTGAGCTTCGATCCTATTATGTCAAGACCAGGCACAGTTCGTGACATCACGTAACAACGAACCAGGCCATCGCTGAGGACAGCTCTAACAGTTCAGCTCAGCTCAGCTGAAGTTCTGTTAGAGCATAGTTCTGTCAGGCACGATCATTCGCAAGGCGCTGTAGCACCAATGGCAGGCTGACAGATAACATTACCGCCAGGTGGTCGTCAAGGTGCTCATGCATTCCACGTCGACGTCCGACATGCAAGAGGAACATGCAACACATCACATACATGTCCGACCAGCTGGCGCCATCTGACGCTTGACCTCGCGCATCAGCTCAGTGGACGGCGCACACGAGCACAACATGTAGCCAGTGGGCATCCATCATCAATCCCGCTCCAGAAGACCACTCCGTATACGGACTTCACCACTGCCGTCGTGCGCCGCTGTAGAAGATGGGTGGCGCCGGGGACACACGCCGCGTGTGGCGCCCGGCGGCGCTGCCGCTACCGCCGCGCCCACCGTGCACCCTGTCAAACTTCGCCCTCCACCCAGCGCCCCAGCAGCGGCCGACAGCGGTGCGGCCGCTGGCCCGGCGGCACTGCCGCTACCGCCGCGCCCACCGTGCACCCTGTCAAACTCGGCCCTCCACCCAGCGCCCCAGCAGCGGCCGACAGCGGTGCGGCCGCTGGCTCGGCGCGGCGCCCGTACCTGTGTAGGCGGCGGCGTTCTGCAGACACTTGGTGAAGAGGTTCTGCAGCAGCTCGAGCCGCAGCAGGAACGTCATCAGCTGGAGCACCTCGCGTGTGCTCCGGCTTCGCATCGGAGCCTGCCGACCGGTACGAGGGAGTCGGGAATGCTCAGGGTCTGTTGGGCAGCCACCAACGGGCGCTGCGACCAGCCCCTAATGCTGTCACAGGTCGTTTAAACACGCAGTCCCAAACAGTTACAGCATGGCTATGGGTGGTTAGCGTACAAACACATTGAGCAAGCAGAACACAGAGGCGGTGGCTTTCGAAGGCACCGTGGCCGGGCGGCACCTGTCTCCCGTGAGTGCACGGCCGCGGGTTCGAGACTGGGGACTTGCAGTGTTTCGGCCCGGCGTTATCAGCGCGCTGCACGGCGCGACGCCGGCCTGCTCGACAACCATATGATCACCCCAAATACTGGCGTAGTGGCCAGTGCATCACGTCACCTGCTGGTCACGCTGACCAGCGAGCCGTTCCCTCCGTGCACAAGCGGCCCTCTCCGGCTGACCCATCAATACGCGGCCCTCTCCGGCTGACCCATCAACACAAGGCCCTCTCCAGCTGACCCATCAACACAAGGCCCTCTCCGGCTGACCCATCAATACGCGGCCCTCTCCGGCTGACCCATCAACACAAGGTCCTCTCCGGTTGACCTATCAACACAAGGCTCTCTCCGGCTGACCCATCAACACAAGGTCCTCTACGGCTGACACATCAACACAAGGCCCTCTCCGGCTGACCCATCAATACGCGGCCCTTTCCGGCTGACCCATCAACACAAGGCCCTCTCCGGCTGACCCATCAATACGCGGCCCTCTCCGGCTGACCCATCCACACAAGGCGTTCTCCGGCTCACCCATCAACACAAGGTCCTCTCCGGCTGACCCATCAACACAAGGCCCTCTCCAGCTGACCCATCAACACAAGGCCCTCTCCAGCTGACCCATCAACACAAGGTCCTCTCCGGCTGACCCATCAACACAAGGCCCTCTCCAGCTGACCCATCAACACAAGGCCCTCTCCAGCTGACCCATCAACACAAGGCCCTCTCCAGCTGACCCATCAACACAAGGCCCTCTCCAGCTGACCCATCAACGCACGACCCTCTCGGCGATCCCCGCACGACCCCGTCCTCCTCGACTGACCATGATGGCGCTGGCGTCACGTACGGCGTCGACGCTGGCCCACTGGCGCAGCTGCGGCAGCCGCGCTAGCAGCGCCTCCACGCGCCGCTCCAGCGTCTCGAACAGAATATCGAAGCCCATGAGCAGCATCTGGCCTGGCGACGGCCGGCGGTGGGGCAGGGCGTAAGCGCGCGCCACCGTGGCACGCCACCACTTCATTGTGGCGGGGCGTTACCAGTACGAGGGCGCTGCCGTGGGAGACGAGCTCCGGTACAGCCTCTGGCAGTGGCGCCAGGGCAGCGGCGGCGAAGGACAGCACAGACTGGATGGTTCAGCGAGCAAGGGTGTAGACTGATCTCGTGTGGGTACGCGGCAGGTCCGAGGCGTGGTTGGATCATTGAAGCAATTTAGCGACATGCTATCGGATGTGTTTCCCAGCTATGCTTGATTTGGAAAAAAACACGTCATAAGGAATGACGGCAAGTTAAGCGACGCCGAAAAAAGAACAGCGTTTAGTGTGCACAAACAACTGCAATACTGGGCACTTGAAAACGCCTTCAATCCCGTGATAGCGACACGCTCAAGTTTCTACGTTTTACTTGTTGTGTGCCCACCGCAGCCTAACCAGCACGGTCAACGGCCGAATCTACAACCATTTCCAGCCCCATGCAGACGGCACAGCATAACTTCACCGCCACACCCAGGCGTTTGTCTGCCGCACGTCTGCTCGCACGTGCAGTACTGCCACGCAGTACCCCCTCCCCCAGCCAACTGCAGTCCATGGTCGAACCTGCAGTCATGGTCCGCGGCGATACTAAAGACCATGCCTTGTTCCCACGCAGACACAGCAGGTAACTAAGGCAAACCACATACAGGCCAGGCTCTTTGACATAACCAACCGCTGATCAAACAGATCCAGCCCTGTGCTTGACATCTCCACACCACAGAAGACCCGAGGCCAGCCCCCTGCACATCCCCCGTCACCGCAATAACCCGAGGCCAGCCCCCTGCACGTCCCCCCCTCCCCACCGCAGATGACCCGAGGCCAGCCCCCTGCACGTCCCCCCCCCCACCGCAGATGACCTGAGGCCAGCCCCTTGCACGTCCCCCCACCGCAGATGACCCGAGGCCAGCCCCCTGCACGTCACCCCCCCCCCCCCCCCCCCCCCCCCACCGCAGATGACCTGAGGCCAGCCCCCTGCACGTCCCCCCCCCCCACCGCAGATGACCTGAGGCCAGCCCCTTGCACGTCCCCCCCCCCACCGCAGATGACCTGAGGCCAGCCCCCTGCACGTCCCCCCCACCGCAGATGACCTGAGGCCAGCCCCCTACACGTCCCCCCCCCCACCGCAGATGACCTGAGGCCAGCCCCCTGCACGTCCCCCCCCCCACCGCAGATGACCTGAGGCCAGCCCCATGCACGTCCCCCCCCACCGCAGATGACCTGAGGCCAGCCCCCTGCACGTCCCCCCCCCCACTGCAGATGACCCGAGGCCAGCCCCTTGCACGTCCCCCCCCCCCCCACCGCAGATGACTTGAGGCCAGCCCCTTGCACGTCCCCCCCCACCACCACCGCAACTGACCCGAGGTCAGCTCCCTGCACGTCCCCCCCCCCACCATCGCAGATGACCCGAGGCCAGCCCCCTGCACGTCCTCCACCTCCCCCCCCCCCACCACAGATGACCCGAGGCCAGCGCCGGCACGTCCCCCTCCCCTCCACCACCACCACCACCACACCGACCTTGCGTCATCTGGGCATCGCGTTTGTTGACCTGCGCCTGGTACTGGGCCAGCAGCACGCGCGCCGTCTCCAGCGCCGCACCGTGCTGTGACGGCACGCCCAGCACCAGGTGGCGCACGTGCTGCTCCAGCGAGTCTGCCGGCGCCGGCGGCGACAGCGCGGTCAGCACCGGCGGGGTACGGACGACCGGCGGCTAACGGCCGGCTGGCGCGAGATGCCGCCCTCCTCCGGCGTCCGGTTCCGTATCGACGTTGCATTCTCGTCGGAAAAAGCCACTTACTGCCGTAATTCAGAACGCGCCTAAACGGGGGCGCTCACGTCCTGGTGATCGACCAGGTGCTTTGGCAATGCTACGAGCACTGGAAAAGGTTAAATTAAATAACACTGAACAAAGCCGAACGATTAAGGAAATGGCCGAACAACACCAGTCGAAGAAGCGAATAAGCATGGAACAGCGGCCGTGCAGCATGAAGGCACTTTGCCGCATGTTCACCAGCGTGCTGTGGACGCCGAGCCCCGCCCCCGCCAACGCCCCTCCCCTCCACGAGGCTACGCACCGATAAGCTCATGAAGCGGAATGCCAGCGGCGTTGATAACGTCACTGACGCTGGCGATGGTGGCCAGAACGGACGGCTCCTCCTGCTGGGCGTAACGCAGACCCTCCGGCAGCAGGATGCCCGAGAACTTGGCCTTTAGGTCCTGCCGCGCACAGTGAGGGTGTGGGGCTCGCCACCCAGCCACGCTGACGCCACTCGTCGCCACACGGCGCGAGTTCAGTAAATCACCGGCGCTCAACGGTGGGCACCAAGGACCGCAGCGGTCGGCGCGCCAGAGAGCCCCGATCGACGACAAAAACAGGCTCACCCGGGCTGGGCGCGTAATTTGCGTCATTGGAAACTTCTAATCCTACCAAAACGTGGTGGCAGGTGGCAGCCCCCCCAAAAAACAACAACAAACAAACGAACAAAACACATAGACAACAGGACAGTGGCCATCACATCACATCATAACTGTACTGAGGTTCTCCCGCACGGTATCGCCGTACCTCTCGATCATGACTCTAGCAGCCTTCCCCTCCATCAGTCCCTCCTACACGAACAGAACAAAGGAACACAATATCGGTAGCGCCTCGAGGAGGCGTCACCAGCCGCGGCCGTGACCGTGACCGAACAAAGGAACACAATATCGGTAGCGCCTCGAGGAGGCGTCACCAGCCGCGGCCGTGACCGTGACCGAACAAAGGAACACAATATCGGTAGCGCCTCGAGGAGGCGTCACCAGCACGCGGCGTGACCGTGACCGAACAAAAGGAACACAATATCGGTAGCGCCTCGAGGAGCGTCACCAGCGCGGCCGTGACCGTGACCGAACAAAGGAACACAATATCGGTAGCGCCTCGAGGAGGCGTCACCAGCCGCGGCCGTGACCGTGACCGAACAAAAACACAATATCGGTAGCGCCTCGAGGAGGCGTCACCAGCCGCGGCCGTGACCGTGACCGAACAAAGGAACACAATATCGGTAGCGCCTCGAGGAGGCGTCACCAGCCGCGGCCGTGACCGTGACCGAACAAAGGAACACAATATCGGTAGCGCCTCGAGGAGGCGCTATCGGTAGTATCGGTAGCGCCTCGAGGAGGCGTCACCAGCCGCGGCCGTGACCGTGACCGAACAAAGGAACACAATATCGGTAGCGCCTCGAGGAGGCGTCACCAGCCGCGGCCGTGACCGTGACCGAACAAAGGAACACAATATCGGTAGCGCCTCGAGGAGGCGTCACCAGCCGCGGCCGTGACCGTGACCCCACCTGGAGCGCGTCATGACCTGCTGGCGGCGGCCAGATCGTCGAGCGCGGCGCGCACGGCCGGCTCCTCGGGCTCGCGACACGTGACGAGCCGCGCCACGACACAGCCCACCCGACGCCGGCGCACAACTCGTCGACGAACCAGCGACCCTCCTGCGAAGTCAGCTCCACCAGCTGGTCGCCGGCGCCTGCGGTACGGCGTGGGGCGAGCAGGGTCAGGGCGGGGTCAGGGAGGGCATATCCGGCCAGACCGGTGGGGTGAGGGCTGTCTTGTCAGAGCCGGGCCGGACCGGGCCGCCCGGCCAGGTGAACGTGGCACAGCTCTCGAGAAAGCACGCCTCGTCATCCCGTCCGGCCAGGTGAGCGTGGGACAGCTCTCGAGAAAGCACGCCTCGTCATCCCGTCCGGCCCGCCCGCTCCCAACACGTCTAACCGGGCCACAGAACACACGGCACATCGCTGCGGCGACGGACCACCTCGCCCTGGCGGCGGTACCGCCAGTCGACGCCCGGCACCAGCGGCCCTCGTCGTCCGGCCCGGCCAGCCGCCAGCCCGCCCGCCGAGCCGCCAGCCCTCCTAGCCGCTGCCAGAGCGAGCGCCGACGGTCTCGGCGACGCCCCGCGCGCCTTTTGTCCGCGGCGGCGTCTCACCGTGTGCCGTAGTCTCCATGCGCAGCAGCTGCCGGCCGGCCGTGTAGAGCGCGGACATGACGGTGCAGCGGCGCGCCGGCTCCTCGTCGGTCGGGCCGGCGCCGGCCAGCGCCGTCAGCGAGTCCAGCTCAGCCAGCAGCTGCGCGCGGATCGGCGCCGCCCAGCCGCGTCTCCAGCTGCGGCAGCCGGTGGGTAGGTCAGATGGGCGGGGGAGGTCAGAGGTGCGGAGGTCAGGGACGCGAGGTGGAGGAGTTCAGACTAGCGGGGACGTCAGAGAGGTGCAGGTCAATGCTGGAGGAGCGAGGGAGGTCAGTGACGCCGGGGGGACGTCAGGGAGGCGGAGAACAGAGGAAGGCGGAGGAGGTTAAAGATCGGCTGGGGAAGGTCGGAGGGAGGGCGGTGGGCAGCCAGGGGGGCGGCGGTCAAACCAAGCCAGATCTGACGGCGACGGACAAGCTGGAAGCCACAAAGCGGTGCAACAGTGGTCTGCTTCCAGGGCTGTTTGACGCGGTCAGGACCTGTCCCCTATGGCTGCGCCGCAGTAATGTATTACGTAGCACACAGCGAACTGTACAATAAGGCGCTTCAATGATCCAGGAGATCACATTGACCCAGCCGGCCCGGCCCGACCAGGCCAAAATGGCACGCCCATCGCGGAAAGGTCGTGCGCCGCATGGGCGGATGTAGCCCTAGTGGGCGGAGGAGAGGGGTAAGGTGGGAGTAGAACACATTAAGCGGCGCTCCACGAGTCACGAGATCAGCTCTCACAGACGGCACACGTCAAATGTTCGCAGGTGGCGACGCTGAGACCAAAACACCACCCGCCAAGC